CACTGTGGTCAAGTGTGGTCAAGGGAATAGTTACACTTTACTAAAATACAGGGGCTCAGCCATAACTAGAGGCATCACAGTTAAACTCATCCCATATGTTTCTGGTAATGTGGGGAAAAAAATGATATAAAGAGACAGAGTAGGTAAAATGAAGAAAAATTTTTGTTACTATTGTGCTACACTCATACAAGCACCCCAGTATCAAGAGAAATGGGTGGCCCTGGCTGGTGTAGCTCAGTGGATTGAGCGCAGGCCTGCAAACCAGAGCATCGAGGTTCAAGGTTGCAAGCCAGTTCCCTGCAGGCCAGTTCCCAGCAGGCAACACATGAGAGGCAACCATACATTGATGTTTCTCTCCCTCTCTCCTTCTCTCCTTCCCCTCTAAAGATAAATAAATAAATATTTTTAAAAGAGAGAGAGAAATGGGTGTAATCCTTTACTAGATATAGGACTGAGCAGAAACAAACATGCATCCATTTACAAAAGTAAGACATACTGCTGAGTTTCTCAGTGAAAGATCACCCCGAAGCAGAGATTAACATTAAAATAACCCCCTGGTATATAACTGGACCTCAGTGATAGATAAAGCTTAAGATGAACCAGTAAACAAGGCCCAGCATTGCTGTTTGATGCTATAAGGAAAGGCAACCAGCACTACCAAACAACAGATGCAAAGAGACGGAAGGAGAAAAGCGGCATACTATCTTTACTCTTTCTACAAACGACAGAGAAAACAAAACAAAACAAATGTACACTACGTTAAGGGAATTTTTAACAGGGTCCTTTAAAAAATTAGCAATAATCACATATTCAGTGTTCAGAATATGCAGTTTGGGTTTATTTTTCTCCTAATAAAGCATTTTGAATTCTAATTAAAAAATACTTTATGGAGGAATTAAAACAGGTACAATAATGTCAGAGCAAATGCCATGATCCCAAAAGTGGAATATTCTAACAATATAAGTTACAAGGAACTACACTATACAAACAGATTGTTGATTAACACAAACTCATAACAAAACAGAGAGAGCTATTGCACTGGTAATAACACTTGGCTGCTGAATTCTCTCAATACATTAAATATCTCCTTGGAGACCAAATTACGTTAAATTTTCTTAAAGACAATTTATTGTGGCTTTGTTTTCTTCTCATTACCTCTTAAAAATATATCTAACAAAGAAAATGCAACTTCTAAATAATTACGTAAAATGGTACCAAAGTGTGACAACAGATTTAACATGTTGGTTACTATTTAAATGACACACAGCAGCCTACTGCCCTGACAACTCGATACTTCATGCGTCACACGTATCAAAAACCGCCGGACACCATTGTTACGGCATACATAAAATTAACAGCCTAAGGCTTCTAGCAATTTAAATAATTGATAAGTTTTCAATTAAAAAGGCAACCTTTTCAGGTCTAATACAAAAAAATCTGTTTAAATTACTAATAAAAAAAGAAAAAAAGCAAATTTATGCTACTGTTGGCCCAAGGCCAGAAAATGCTTGTATCCAATGGATTTTTTAAAAAAGTAATTCTGCAAGTTATACTTTAGACATTGCAATTTTTAAATAAACTTTAGGCAGAGGTTCATGTTGTTCATTCATGTAACCTTTGTAATCAATGGAAAAGAATAATTAAAGGATTTATGGTAAAGTGTCTTGAGTTTTGCTTTGCCAATGTTAAAGAAATACTAAGGTGGCTGTAAAATATTGACTACATGAAAAATTAAGCTGTTTTGTTAGGTTTTTTGTTTGTTTGTTTTACAACAAATACATGGTCAGCTGTCAGTATCTTCCTATATTAGCATCCAATCCTGGAATCAAAGTTTTTCTGAGCCAAATTGAACCTAAAAATAAAGACCAATGCAGGTTTTTAATAACAGTTTGGCAACTGAGAACTATCAACCAAAACCTATTGTAAGATTAGGTCCAAATGGTTCTCTTGATGGCAGAACTGGAACAAAAAGGAATTTCAACCATGAGAACCACGACACATCAAAATGACAGCCAACAATGTTTTTCTGATCTTTGAGAAAGGGATTCCCTTACTCTCTATTTTCTACATGTTATTCAGAGCCTGACGCTGCATAAACAAAGGTCCTGTGAGGGTAAGGGCTACTGCAACGCACAAGAGAACAAAAATCCATTTAGGTTTTAAATGACTTAAAACGTATCCCTCAGGGATATTTTCACTTAAAAATACTTTGCTCAAGCACTCAGAATGAGAAAAGTGGAGATCTACTTTCAGTTAAAATTTTCCGGGTGCCTCAGGTTCCATCTCTAAAGATTTGTTAGGTGAATGAATGGGAAACTCTGGGCCCAATCAGCCTGAGCACAGTCCACGGACCACTACCAATTCCTTACGACAGTTTCACCCTCCGCAGCAAGTTAATACAAAGAACAGTCAGTGCATTGAGATCTTACATTAAAACTAAATTTACTCACTTTAATGGTCACCTTTACTTTTGAGATTATGTATCACCCAATGTTTTAATCTTTAAATAACTCCCACTTTTTTCTTTATTAACAAAATAATGGTTAACAGTAGATAATTTTATTAGTTTACATATTAATGTTTTTATTTGGCAAAATGAAACATTACCAAGCCTATGTCTATCCTCCAACCTGAAAATGAAAAATTGATTAGTTCGTGAAATCCAAATAGCTGGATTAATGAGCTAGATAGATGATTTCTGTTCAGATTCTCAAGAAAGGTGAGAAATTTTTTAAAAAATATTTTATTTATTTATCTTTAGAGGGGAAGGGAAGGAGAGAGGGAGAGAAATATCAATGTATGGTTGCCTCTCCTGTGTCCCCTGCTGGGAACTGGCCTACAACCCAGGCATGTGCCCTGACTGGGAATCAAACCGTGATACTCTGGTTCGCAGGCCCGTGCTCAATCCACTGAGCTACGCCAGCCAGGGCTAGAAACTTTTAAGTTTAAAGATAATTACATAACTCTAATATTTTCCTACAACACCAAAATAAACACTGCATTTGAGAAAATAAGCACGCATCATAAGGAATACATATGATAGCTATATAGGGTGTTATATAAACATGAGTCATTCAGCATTTAATAGTGGTGGTAACATAAAAAGATCCCAATACTAATGTGCAAGGGGTGGATAGGAGACAAAAAGTGTAAAACAGTAAAGGATCATGGGCTTTGGCATTGAGGAGAAACTGAACTTAAATTCCACATTCAAATGCATTAGTACATGACCTTCAGCATGTCTATTAACCATAGCTTCCTCATTTAAAAACCAGGAATGATAGTATCTACCTCACAGAGTGATTATTAAAACCAATGCAATTAAATACCATAAGCATCTAGAATACAGACCAGGAACCTAAAAAAACAGAAATGACTATTATTATCATTATAATCACATGCAGCAACATTCTTTAAAAGACACGATTTGCCAGATCTTCCCCAAAGTAGATTACTCTAAAACACCAGTGTGGTTCAGTGGAGCTCAGACATAATGAAAGCACACCGATGTCAGTAATGTACTCTGCAATGGACGTATATGAAAAAACTGGAACCCATCTACGTGTGTGTGTTTTCTAAAAATAAGCATGTCACATTCTCAGGAGAGTGAGCAATCAATACCAGTGCCAGACCTCTCAGTAGACCATCCTACTCTGCCTTTCAAGGTGCTGATGAGCCCTGGTCTAAATTCTCAAAGCACAAGGACTCTCAAAGAAGTTAATGGGAAGTCAATGGGAAATTGACTTTTCCTACTCTGTGCGGCTCTAAATGCAACGCTCTGTTAATCATGCCATTCTTCTTGTTCTCTTTCCTTCTACCCTAAATTAAAACTATTGGCGGAAACCCACAGATATTTTATAGGTTTCATTACAATGAAACAACACCTTGGGTTAAAGTTGAAGTCTATCAAAAACCTACAACCTAACTGTTAGCTAAGATCAGAGCCTCATTGAAAAGCAAGGCCCCAGAATCTATCATTTCCACCATAAGACCACTTTGCATTTGTATAGAACATTTGTGTTTGCAAAGGGCTTTCAAGGCTATTCCCCCATTTGATCATTACAATGACCCTGTGCCACAGAAAGGACAAGTATTATTATCCACAATTGACAGATGAGGCAACTAAGGCACAGAAAGGTTAAGTGATTTGCCTAAGGCCAGGACGCCAGAAGAGAGCACTGGTCTCCTGACTTCCAGTCCACTGCTGTCTCCACCAGGCCAGTAGAGAGGGTTTTGTAAATGCATGGCGAACTCAGATAAAACAAAATAAGATAAATAAGAGGAAATAAAACAAAATGAGGAAAGCGTAAATCAGGGCTCAGGGAAGCTGTATGTCTCTACATTATAGTTGAATTTTCAAAGTTAGTATTAAAGTTTTAGAAATGTAGTCTTTTCTCGTTTATCTACTCAGTCCTGAAACATTAATGTAAATTTTCACTGAAATCCAAAACACAAAAGAAAAGTCATTTCAGGATGTATTTAAATCACTTTGATTCAGTAAGTAACCCCAGAGCAGTTCAGCTCGGGATGGGTGCAGGGGGTGGTAGAATAACTGAGAGAGAGTACATCTTTAAATCATGCATCCATATTAAGCCTGCAGCTACATAATAACTGTAGTCTGTTTGGAAGGGTGAAAGAGATCTCCAGTGGAAAGTAGATTTTGAAAAATTTTTTAGAGCCCAGGGGTTCATTTTTAATGAGCCGTTACTTTAAGTACTGCATAAAAAATACAGGAAATTGATAGTCCATTTAGTCTGCACCATACCTAATGCAACAGTCATTAAGATGCATTATTCTTAATGTTCATGATATGATCAGTAAGTGTCTTTTGGAAAGAATGCCCTTAACTTTCACATAAGGAAATCTTTGAAAACCTTATACACTACATAGAAAAATGTTATGGCAACTGTGATTTACTTTTATATCTTCGCTCTGCCAAGAAACAGCGTCTTCAATTACAGTAACATTTTAAAGATAGTCCTCATTTGTAATATACTTACATATGACAGCATTGCCTTCATTTCTTCATCACTTCTCACTGTAATTCGATCACCATCTTCATCTTCATCTGTTTAAAAAGCAACAGAATGCAAGTAATAAGATTTGCATTTTCTAATGTACCAAAACCACATCAGCTGGAAACAGGATATACTTAGTTTTTACAAACTGATACCCAAATCCTCAACATCCTATTTTGGGGAATACTGAGGTTTGTCATTTTGGTTTTTGTTGTTGTTGTTGAGAATACAATCAGAATCTCAATAAATAACTAAGATTTTAGGAACAGCTGAAAATTAAAATATGGTGCATGCCATTCATGACATATATTTAGGAGTATGACTAAAACAGGTTTGGTTGGGAGAACTGTAAAAACCAGAGACAGGCCAGGCCTGTTCTACTATCAGTAGAACTTTTCTCCTTCCTCTCTTCCAGGCACACCAACATGTCACAACAGCATGATAAAAATGACTAACATTTATTCAACACTATTATACACAAGGCATTATGATTTGTGCTTCACATGCCGTAAATTACTTCCTGAAAAACTTCACAGTGATTCTATCATGTGGATAGTGTGCCTTATTATTCCCTTTTTACAAAAGGAAAAACTGGGAGCCTTGTATAAGGTTAACTTGCAAATCAATTCTAACACAATGCTCCCCATATTCTGCCCTATCTAGTAGCTCTTTCTCTTTCTGAACGGTTTCATTTGCACTAGGAACTCTCACATGGTGATTCATGGTATTTTGAAACAGTCTTGAAATTAGAGGATAAGACTACAAAATATATGACCAGAATGTATAAATTTGACTAAAGTATATAATCAAAGCAGCCACATCCAGAAACAATGTACTTATTTCAACTATACTTCTCTTATTCGAAATAGTTTTGAAATATCCTGTTCATAACCTGCTTTAAGAACTACAAGACAGACCATGTGAAAACATCATATCTCATTTTTAATCCTAAATAAAATTATCTTCCCGATCACTCACCTACACTAATCTGTCAAGCAGAACTCAGAATGACTTTTGGCTATTTCTAAATATTTAGCTAGCTACTTCATCTTTCTAATGATAAAGATCTGTCAACAGGAGAACAGCTTATATGGTAGACTCTACCTGTAAAGCTGAAAGAAAAATGCCAAAAACATTTAGAACAGCAGCAGCACTGCTGGAAGAAGTGACAGCCTCCCGGAGAAAACTTGGATGGGGCAGCTCTCTTTCACCTGGATGTCTCAGCTCTGGCGCACTTATTAAATCAGACATGCTATTTATTTAATGTGGTCGCTCTTGGGTATCTAAGTGCTGATTTGATCAGATGCAGAGAAACTGATCCCAGGCCTGGAGAAACAGTCGAATCCCTCTTCATAAAGAGAATGAGCTTACATCACACACTCTGGGGATTCTTACTGAAAATACAGCACCAGTTCAGTTCAGCACAAGGCTCTTCACCCACCCGCCCTCCCTCTTGTCCAGCAGCAGTTCTGAAGATATTCCACTGTTCACTGACCAGGCTCTGGGAATCCTGGAGGGAGCTTGTGTTGTTCCCAATTAGCCTATTTCAGAGCAAAATGCTACTTCCTTTTTCTCTTCAGTAGCCAATAGCAATCTGACATCATGACAGAAACCAGCACTTGAGCCAGCCCAGCTCAGTGATCAAGCCTACAGCCCTTGATGGGGTTTTCTCTCCAAAGCATTTATTCCTGGATTTTGGTTCACCTGCAGAGAGTTCCCCAACAGAATGTAAATCAGTATCATCAAGTTGCAGTAAATATCTACACAGGTAGAAACTACCTAAAGTCACTGTTGCCATCATGCTACCAAGAGCTGCCTACTTTCAGTATACAAGGCACACGACGGTCATGTTCAGTAACAAGGGCAGCACATTCCCAGGAATGCTGCACATACAAAGGATATATAGGAATCTATCATTTCCCTTCTTCCTTGTTTTCTCTTTTTATCCTTACCTAAAGACAGTTTTTTCACTGTTTTTAGAGAAAGTAAAAGGGAGAGAGGAAGAGAGGCAGAGAAACATCAAGGTGAGAGGGAAACACTGATCAGCTGCCTTCTTATACGCGCCCCAACCAGGGATTGAACCCACAACCTGGGTATGTGCCCTGACCAGGTTCAAGTTCACAACCTTTTGGTCCATGGAACAATGCTCCTACCAAGTGAGCCGCATCAGCCAGGGCTCTTTTCTTTTTTTATTTAAGTTACAGAAGCTATAAAGCCAAACTGGAGAAAAACTGCCATTCTTGTTTTGTTTCTACATAGGTTCTAGAAACTAGTATTTTCAAGGTTAAGTCAAAATTTTTTCTTACAAATTCAAGAAACAAAGGGGAAAACCAGACATAGTATAAAGGACTATAATGTTGCATGTTATCAGACATGAGAGCACTTTACAGTTTTGTTTTAAAGCCAACTCAAATTCCCCGTTTAGATGTGGGCTAAACTGATTTGTTCTTGATCAAGTCCTGAACTTGGGAGCACTTCCAACCTGAACAAAGCAGCTTTTGTGCACCTCCTTCCTCCACCAGAGCCGGCCACAGAGACGGAGGTTACAGAGGGGCTGCTCATCCTCAAATTTTAACATGAACAAGACCTCTAACAACGCTGCTCACGTGGAGTGTGGAAGTGCTTGGAGTTCGGTAAAACGGGAAATTCTTTTTATATTTTGTAAAGAGAGGATATGGACTCCAGAAGAACCATTCAAATGGAGGCCTCTCCACATCAGGAACAACAATGAAGAGCTCTCTAAGCTCTCAAAACCAGACTTGAATCTCTAAGGCTCCTTACAACAAGAGAGTCTGGAATTCTACAATTCTATGAAATCTCTTACTGATTATTTCAGCACAAAACTGAGGGAAGTCAGCCACCAGAATAATTTCTTATCTAGCGGTTCCGTAAAAAGCAGCTACGAAACACTACAGGGGTATTTTGCTTTAACTGGACAGAAGACTGAGACCAAAAGCCAGCTGAGTGGTAAAGTGCTGAGTGCCACCCCGTAAGGGGTCTGACCGCGAGAGAAAGGGCTCTGAGAAGTCCAAAGAGGCATTCTGTTAAAGCCCGAGGATCAAGTCGGGCTCGCAGGTAACGCAGTGAGAAACGGTTCTCAAGGGTTAATAAAAGACCCCATTTTATGCACATACTGATTTTCTTTACAAATTCCCTTTGAGAGACTGTCTGATTTACTTTAATAATTGTGGTTATTAGTTTTAATGAAAACTCCTTGTTCCTGTCAAAGAGGAGGCTAAGTTGGAAAAGTAGCCACATTTATGAAAAGACTGATGATTCCAGCCAAAATGTGAAATCCAGGCAATCTAACCCCTGAGGGCAGCCCCAAAACAAACCATTAGTTATGATGTGTAAAGTAGAACAGCGCCCTGATCAGTGTGGCTCAGCTGGTTGGGTGCTGTCCCACAAACTGAAAGGTCACTGGTTTGATTCCCGGCCAGGAAACATGCCTGGGTTGTGGGCCTGGGGACTGATGTTTCTATCCCTCTCTTTCTCCCTCACTTCCTTTCACTCTAAAAATAAAACAAATAAAATCTTTTAAAACATAAAAAATAAAGTAAGAATACAAGGTCTGTCCAGAAAGTATCCAGCCATACAATATGAAAAATGGAAACAATTATTGAAGAAGATACAAAATAAAAGAAATCCATGTACATGGGGCAATGATGCCTCAGCCCTTTTCAAAGTTATGACCTTCTTGGGGAAGCCTGGTTCATTGGTAGCAGTTTGAATCAAGTCATTAGCAATTATAGCACAATGTTCCTTCTGCTCTGGTAGCAGAAGCCATGGAATGAATTTTGCCATGCCACGTTTTGTGTCAAGATCCTATGTCAAAATCTCGGACACGGTAGCATTTGAAGTCCCCAGATCAGCTTCTGGTTCCTGCATTGTTAGTCTCCAATCTTTGTTGACTGCAGCCCGTACACGTTCCACATTCTCAGGTGCTGTGCTTATTGCAGGTCTTCCAGAACGTGGATCACTTTCCACTGATTCTTGACCATCTTTGAAGCATTTGTGCCGCACTTTTGTTTGTGCTGCACTCACTGCATCCTCCCCAAAAGCCTTCTGAATCATCTGAATAGTTTCCACGGAGGAATATTCAAGGTTAACAAAAATCTGATGCAGATTTATTGTTCTATTTGCTAAGTCATTTTGAATGTGATGGCCACACAGTACACATGCTCACTCAGCAGCCTCTACCACTGACTAGTACAGTAACTAGTACAGTGAAGTCATCATTATTCATGCATGAGCATTCCAGTCCACTCTCCTTGGCTGCCAGGTTACACTGATGTTGCACAAACCATTCTTGTTATATTAACAATGGCTGCACTTTTTCCAAACAGACCTCAGACACTTATCTCTAAAGACAATCACCAAAGAAGATGTACAACAGGTACATGAAAACATGCTCGACATCACTAATCATCAGGGAAATGCAAATCAAAACCACAATGAGATTATCAGCTCATATCTGTTAGAATGACTACTATTAAAAAGCCAAGAGATAACAACAAGTATTGGTAAAGATTTAGAGAACCCTTATGAACTATTGGTGGGAATAAAAAATGATGCAGCCACTGTGAAACATATTATGGCCCTGGCTGGTATGGCTCAGTGGATTGAGTGCCAGCCTGAGAACCAAAGGGTTGCCAGTTCGATTCCCAGTCAGAGCACATGCCTGGGTTGCAAGCCAGGTCCCTAGTAGAGGGCGCTGGAGAGGCAACCACACATTAATGTTTCTCTCCTCTTTCTCCCCCACTTCCCCTCTCTTTAAAAATAAATAAATAGCCCTGGCTGGTGTAGCTCAGTGGATTGAGTGCGGGCCTGGGAATCAAGCAACCACGGTTCGATTCCCAGTCAGGGCACATGCCTAGGTTGCAGGCCAGTTCCCAGCAGGGGACACACAAGAGGCAACCATACATTGATATTTCTCTCCCTCTCTCCCTCCCTTCCCCTCTAAAGATAAATAAATAAATAAATAAATCTAAAAAAAAAAAAAAAACAACATTAAAAATAAATAAATAAAACCTTTAAAAAAACAGAAAAG